ATTGCCTCACAGTCGATGGTTTTTGTCTTTGTAATCTTTTCAAAAGATTACTACAGAATTCTTTTGTGGGTCCATTCGAAAACTTTAGGGAAATAATTTATCTAAATTCAACAAAATTCAATAAAAAACTACAAAATTGAATAAAAAAAATTAATTTCAAACAAGTAAAAGAACTAAAATTTATTGAAACCAAATAGAATCTATTTGAACCAAATAAAATTTGTTTTTATCAAATACAATCGGTTTGAAAGAAATAAAATCTATTGAAACCAAATGAAATCTATTTGAACCAAATAAAATCTGTTAGAACTGAATAAAACCTATTTGAACCAAATAAAATCTGTTAGAATTGAATAAAAATTATTTGGACCAAATAAGATTTATTCGAGCAAATAAAAATTTATTTCAACCTAATTTAAAAAGAGTTTAAATTAAAATCTTTGAAAATTTGAATTATTTAATATTATGTACTTAAGTGAATTTTTTAAATCTGTAATAATTGAAAAATTAATGTTTATTCTTGAAAATATAAAATTGACATTGACAAATTAATAAATTAGCAAATTAACAAATTAATTAATATATGACGCAATGAAAGCAGATAAGTGTAATTTTTCTCTCTTTCAAAAAAAAAAAAAAAGGAAAAAATCATTGAATTTATATAGAGACAAAGCAACACAATTGGACTAATTTGATCACATTACACGAGAAAATAATGATTATAATATGAACATAAACTTTTATTGATAAACTTTAATTTTTTCCACTTCACTAAACACGAGATAAAAATTTTTCTAAACCTATCAAATCGAACTTTAATTTTTATAATTCCAACAAAATACAATTGTATATTGTTTCGATAAAATAAATCCAAATGCAGGACAATGTATTCACAATCAATATATAATATTATTCTTTTGTTTTTTCTACTATTAAATAGCATAAAAAGTCTGGAACTATTACACTCAGAAAAAATTTATATTTGACACGCAGTCTAATAAATTAATTCTTTCAAATAAATTTTTATCTGGTTCAAAAAATTTTAGATGGTTCAAAAAAATTTTATTTGGTTCAAACAGATTTTATTTGGTTCAAATAAATTTTTTTTTTATTCAAACAGATTTTATTTGGTTCAAATAAATTTTTTTTTATTCAAACAGATTTTATTTGGTTTAAATAAATTTTTTTTGATTCAAACAGATTTTATTTGGTTCAAATAAATTTTTTTTATTCAAACAGATTTTATTTTGTTCCAATAGATTTTTTTTATTGAAACAGATTTTATTTGGTTCAAATCGAATTTATTTGGTGAGTATAAATTTTATTTGGTTGTAATAAAAATTTGTGCGAAATAAAATATTTTGTTACAATAAATAATTTGATATTCTCTGTGACAAATTAACTTTTATTTAACTCAAATAAATTATATTTGGTTTGAATAAAATAAAAAATATTGATCTCAAATCTTGTGCTGCTTATAAATAATAATTAACATCAGTTAATATCAAATTAATTGAAATTTAATTAAAATTTAATTATAATTAAAATTAAATAATTAAAATTTATTACACAATAAATTTGAGAATCTATAATTTAATTAACTCATTATAGAAAATTTCAAGTCACGTACAATATAGAGAATGAAGACCTTTCACTAAAAAAAGAAGTCTCTTTTTATTAAAGAAATTTTTAATAATTTAATTTTCATTATTTTTCTTTTTTTCTATTGAGAGGAATATTTTGAAAATCGACGAAAAATCAAGTTTGTGAAACTGTTACCTATGTGGAAACGGTGGAGAGAAAAAAAAAGAAGTTATTTCTTCAATTCTACTATACCAATCAAGTTTAATTAAAAGTGAAGAAACAAAATGACTTCATTGGCGATTCGTGAGGCTCGTCCCATTCCTGAATTGGATGAAATTGGTTCAAATTCGATTCACTGAATAACGGTGATTATGGGTTCCACAAAATAGAAGCCTTTCGCAACATGAGCGTTCAATTGATTTAACTCTGGTTTTGTGAGAAAGGCACGTGCGATCATTATCCAGTCAATCGAACCTTCATGAAACAATGTTCTATTATCGTGTATGTATATGTAGTAAAAATGCATTATTGTGTATGTACTTTATGAATAGTAGATTTATAGTTTATTATATATAGAGAGAGAGGAAATGGTCTAATCAAGTTAAATTCAATTCAAGTGTAAGTAAACGTTAAAACTGGTAATATTACGTAACAATACTCTTTTCATACTACATCTAGTCTTCTTTCCTTTTATCGACTAAAAAGCAATTATTTTATACAAGCATAGAAATAATTTTATTGAATTAGGTTTTTAGCTCATTTTTTTTACCTAAAATCTAATCAGAATAAAATTTCTTTGGAATAAAATAAAATCTAATTGAATCTGTTTAAACCAAATACGATTTATTTGAGCCAACTGAAATTTGTTCGAATCAAATAAAATCTGTTTGAACCAAACGAAATCTATTTGAACCAAATGAAATCTATTTGAACCAAATAAAACCTATTTGAACCAAATAAAACCTATTTGAACCAAATAAAACCTATTTGAGCCAAATAAAACCTATTTGAACCAAATAAAATCTGTTAGAACTGAATAAAAATTATTTGGACCAAATAATAAGATTTCTTCGAACACATAAAAATTTATCTCAACTTAATAAAATCTATTTAAATCAAATCAAATTGAATCAAAATTCAAACCAAATTTAAACCAAATAAAATCTATTTGAAGTTGAACCAAAAAAAAAAATTTCAAAGCAAAAAAAATTTGAACCAAAATGATTTTTTTTGGCCTAAGTAAGATTTACTGTGGTTTGGTTTTATGTTTGGTTCCAGAAAACTAAAATTTATTCGAATCAAATAATAACTGTTTGAACCAAACAATAAACATTTGAACCAAATAATAACCATTTGAACTAAATAATAACAATTTAAACCAAATAAAAGTTTTATTTAGTAAAAATAACAGTTTTATTTAAACTAAATAAAATTTACTTAAAAACCAAAAAAATATTATTTAAACCAAATCAAATATATTTGAATCAAATAAAATTTATTACAACCTAATAAAATCTATTTGAAGCAAATAAAATTTCATTAAATTTATACCAAATAAAATTTTCTTGAACTTAAATATATTTTGATTTCATGTTTTATTGGGTTTTTACCAACATAAATGTATACGAACTAAATAAATTCTATTTGAACCCATAAAAATTTATTTGAACCAAGAAAAATGAATTTGAACCAAGAAAAATTTGCTTTTACTTGGTTTAGTATTTACCAAATAAAATTTATTTGAACCAAATAAAATGTTTTTAAACCAAATAAAATATTTTTGAACCAAATAAAATTTATTTGAACCTAATAAAATTTATTTGAACCTAATAAAATCTGAAGCAAATAAAATGCGTTTGAACGAAATAAAAATTTTTAAACCAAGAAAGATTTATTTTGATTTGATTTTTTTATTTGGTTTAAACCAATAAAAAATTTTCTAACCAAGTAAAATCTATTTGAACTAACTTAAATTTCTTTGAACCAAATCAAAATCTACTTCAACCAAATAGAATTCGTTTGGAACGAATAAAAATTTTATTCAGCACAAATAATATTTTTCTTTGAACTAAATAAAATTTATATAAAGCAAAAATTTATTATTTGAACCAAATAAAATCAATTTGAACAAATCGAGGATTTATTCGATCCAACTAAAACTTATTTGAACCTTATAAAATCTATTTCAATCAAATGAAATCTTTTTGAATCAAATACAAGTCTTTTGGACCAAATAAAATTTATTTGAACCAATAAAAATTTATTTGAACCAAATAAAATTTATTTGAACCAATAAAAATTTATTTGAACCAAATAAAATGCATTTGAACCAACTCAAATTTATTTGAACCAACTAAAATTTACTGGAACCAACTAAAATCTGTTTGAACCAACTAAAATCTATTTAAACGAAGTAAAATCTATTTCTACGAAATAAAATCTGTTTGAACCAAAAAATAAATATTTATTGTAACCAAATAAAATTTGTATTTACCAAATAAGATTTATTTGAACCTAATAAAATTTATTTAAAGCAAACAATTATTATTTGAATCAAATAAATTCTGGTTGTATCAATTATGATTCATTTGAACCAACTAAAATTTTTTTGAACCAAATAAAATCCATTAAAATTTGTTTTTACCAAATAAAATTCATTTGAAATGTATAAATAATTAAGTTAAAATAAAGAAAAATTATAACAAATATGGGGTACAAAATCTCTTTTTCAAATTACAAAAATGTGTCAAAAATGAAAACGACTAATTCAAATTTGGTAGATTTCCTCTAATATCGAGTGTAGACAATTACCAATAAATTTCTTCTTTACTAGCATCTGGTTACGGACTGTTATCGTCCGATGGTTAAAGAAACTGTTAACTCTAATCGATAAAGTAAACCAGAATATTCCCAGTGGTAAAGAAGACAAACTGGTAAAGAAGAATTCCTAAATATTTAATGTCTACCATAGGAGTAAAACTATCGCCTTCTGCTCGGTATTTTAACAGGAAAGAAAATAAATTCCCCTGGTAAATATTTTTAAATTTCCATCAATTTTTGAAAAATTCCCAAACGAATCATTTTATTTCCCACTCGTTTGGTAATTTTTCAAAAACCAAACTCATCATTGGTTGTTTAACTCCAAAAAAATTGGCGCGAAATTCCCTCCTTTTAAAACAACAGAAATTTCCTTTTCTTCTTTTTTAATTTATCCCTTCAGGAAAAATTCACAACACTTCTTGTTTCATGTTCTAATATTTACAATAAAAATTGGTAAATTATCTCAAATCCTTTCTATTTTCCATTGCTCCAAAAAAGAAAATTTCAAATATTCGCTAAATTGAAGAGACAATTTTACGGCCCTGGATTTTGCGCATGAATTCCTCTCGTAAAAAAAAGGATGAGTCACACATTGTAGGGAAACATTTCTTGCCGGCTTGTTACCAAGTTAAAATTCAGTCTCGAGTGTTTCGTTACCGAACACGGAATTACTTTTCATCAGTGATTTTGTCATTGTTGCTTCCTCAGTGAAAACAAGATTTCAAAGAATTTTTTTCAACATGTCCGTTCGCAGTGAGTAAAGCAGGAAAATTATTTTTAAATTCACATTTTCCTAACCATATAAGAATCTTAGAGTTAATACCTTTTTATAAAAATTCTATTTTTTACAATTTTTTTTACAATTTTTTACTTTTCAAGAGAAGAAAAAAGTAAGCACCTGATTAAAAAAAAGCAGCAGGCGAAATTAATTGTTTCGGAAATTTTATTATTTTTACATTAAATTTAAATAAAATTTTCTTTTACAATTTGCAAATTTTTAAATTTAGAAAAAAAGAGAAGGAAAAATAAAACGAAGAAAAATTGATAATATACTGATTCAAAGAAGTAAATATTTACAAATATTCTGTCAACTTTATGTAATTTAAAAAGAACAATTGTTTTAGAAGAATTGATTGTTCATGGGAAATTCTCTTGTGGAATGCAACGAATGTCATTTCAGTCACGAAACCGTTATTTCTATAAAGTTTAAATAAAAAACCGTTAAGTTTAAACTTGATTAGGAATTTTTTTCTGTAGCGAGTTAGAATAATTATTAATTTATTTATAAACTAATTTGATTAAAACTATTCTGCAAAAAAATTTATTTGATTCAAATGAACAAGTATAATTATATTCAAGTACAAATATACTTGTTTATTATCAAATAAATATTTATTTTAATCAAATAATTTTTATGTGAGTTAATTAAATCGTATTTGCTTCAAATACACCAAGAGAAAAATTTTATTAACCCAAAAATAATTTATTTGAGTCCAATAAAAGTATTTTTTTTTTTCAAAGCGAACTAGAATATTTATTTGTTATAGTAAAAATGTTATTCAACATAAATAAAAAAATTATTTGAATCAAATAAAAGTTTAATTAAACCAAATAAAAAAAAACAAAAACAAAATAAACCAAATAAAGTTTATTTGAAATAAATAAAAAGTCTAGTTGGCTCTGAGTCAAATATATTTTTTTTCTTGGTGTATTAGCAAATAAATATTTATTTGTATCAAAAAAATTTTACTTGAGTCAATTAAATGGTATATTTGCTTTAAATACTGAAATTATTGATTCAAATAAAAATTATTCGATTTGAATAAAAATTATTTGATTAAAATAAAAATTATTTGATTTGAATAAAAATTATTTGATTTAAATACAAATTATTTGATGTAAATAAAAATTATTTGATTTCCATAAAAATTATTCGATTTAAATAAAATTTATTAGATTCAAGGAATCATTTATTTGATAATAGACAAGTAATCGTTTACTCGAGTAAAGTAAATTTTTTTTCAGTGTAGAGAAGAAATGAGAGAAACAAAATGTTTAAAATTCTAAAGAAGAAACGGTCGAAAAATGTTAATCTGCCTTTGATTATAAATTCCCGAAGAGATCAAGATGTAAATATACACGTAAATAATTAACATCTGTGAATTATTTTCATGTATTCTCTGATGGAAATTTAAAAATAGAATCCTCGAGACAATATAATTACAATAAGAATCATCATCATATATTTATCATGTAACTTGTTATTTACCAAAATTACCTCAAATGTTGTTAAATAATATTTTACACAATTTTCTACTATTACAAAATGTTTTTTAATTTTACTTTTGAATTTAAAAATGATTCTTTTTAAAAATTTTTTTCAATATAATCTTTCAGTATGAAGAATCGTAAAATAAATCTATAAACGTAAAATTTAATTTCGTTATCAGTTAATGTTAATATATTATTAAAAATATTATTAAAAAAAACTTTATTTGAACAAAATAAAATTTGTTTGACGATTTTTACATCCGTTTTTTTCTTATTTTGAGTAATAAATTTGTTTTTAACAAAATGGATTTATTTGAACCAAATAAACTATTTTTGAAGCTAATAAAATATTTTTGAAGCAAATAAAAATTTTATTCAGCACAAATAATATTTTTGAACCAAATAGAAAAAGAAATAAAATCTGTTTGAACCCAATGAAGATTTATTCGAACCGACTAAAATTTATTTTAACCTAATAAAATCTGTTTGAACCAAATACAAGATTTTTGAACCAATTAATATTTTCTTTTACCAAATAAGATTTATCTGAAGCAAATAAAATCTCTTTGAACCAAATAAAATTTTTTTCAATCAAATAGAAATTGCAGCACAAATATAATATTTTTGAACCAAACAAAATATTTTTGAACCAAATAAAATTCTTTGAACCAAATAAACATTATTTGAACAAAAAAAAAATTATTTGAACTAAATAAAAATTATTTCAACCAAATAAAATTTATTTGAACCAAATAACAATTGGCTCTGAAACTCAAATTTATACATCTTTCTTTACCGATGTATAGAAATTGATTAATTATCCTTAATTAATTCAATAATAAAAATTATTATTTAACAATAAAATTGAAGGTAAAATGTAAAAAAAAAATTGTTTTTCAAAGAACAGATTTTTTTATGAGTAGTTTTCTTTCAGTATAATAATATATATTCTGTTGATATATATATATGCACTGTTCCTCCATAAAAATTATTAATCCACTTTTCTTTTTATGTCTAAATAAATGATGAATTTATCTTCATTTCTTGCAAAATTGATGACATTTCTCAATGGAGTATTGCATAATTATATACAGGAGCATAAAAATTCCAACATGAACAATTTATGTGTCGCCTCAACATTTTATTTCTATTCTAGGTTGTCGTCATCCTGCGCTTGCTTCTTTTCGCGGCCTTGCAACCTATATATGCGATTCGCATTTTATTAATTGCTTCGTAACTCGAAAATGTCCTATTGCAAAATTTTCCCTCTTTTTTCAATAATTTAAAGAAAATCACATTCGTTTCCATTTTTCCATTCAGTTGCAATGCCATTAAATCATAATAACATAATAATATTATTAATATTATTTTTGAAAATAATTTAAATTTTTCCAAAAGAATTTTATTAAAAGTTTAGAAAAATAATTTAATTCTTTCGGAAAATTTTATGTAGGGTAGAGTGGGGTAAAAAAGCCATGGTGTAAAAAAGCCATTTGAGTTTTATTTAAAAACTATTAAGCCGATTTATCAGCTGTTTAGAATATAAATACTATTAGGTAATACGCAACTTTTGAATCTAATTTGAATGTTGTACCTAGATTAATATTGTTTTTATTGTAATTTTAATTTTTTGTTGCTTTTTTGAAAACATTTTGGTGAACTTTTCAAACATATTACAATCTGATTAAGTGAACGAATAGTAAAAGTAAATGTTTGTACATAAGGAGAAAAGTATACCGAAAACGTATACAATGTTAATTTTTAGAAATTGAACTGAATTGACAATTTATTTTTGCTTTTTTTAATAACTGGTCTTGGGTGTAAAAAAGCCAGGGCAAAAAATCCATTGAATATTTTGTGAAATTCACTTGTTTTCTATTTAAACTAACCTTCTTATTTTACAAAATTTCTCGTGTTTATTTAATAAAATAAATTAAACACGACGAAAAAGTAGTTCAAAGTGCATTTAAAAAATAAACAATGAATAAACGGTTGCAACGAAATATGTTATCTGTGGTAAAACTTAAAGAGAACTTCTAAAAAAGGTACGAAAAATTGGCAGTGCAAATCGAAAACAGGTAAACTTAATATAATTTTCAATTTTCCTTGCTAAAAACTCTTTCATAATTATTAAAATATTTTTCAAATAAGACTATTTGTCATATAAATAAAGGAAAAATATAAAAATACCTAAATTGATAACGTGTTTTGCTAAAATCGTAGGGTGGCTTTTTCACCCCACCAGGTGGTGCAAAAAAGCCACTTGCAGTGCTTTCGTAAAACTCTTATAACTTAGTCCTTTCATGAGATAAAAAATATTTCCGTCAAGAATTTTCAAGCTTAATAACTAAACTTTCAATAACAATTGGAAATTTGAGAAAAAAATTTTAAATACAGATTTTACAGCATCAAAAGTAAAAATGTGGCTTTTTTACCCCACTCTACCCTATCTATTGAAAATATTGAATTCCTTCAATGAATTTTATTCTTTATGAAAATAATTGAATTGTTGAGAAAAATTTTTTTATAACTTTTAAAAAGTAGTTTAATTTTTTCAACGAATTTTATTAGAACATTTTCAAAATAAATTCTGTCCAGGGATTTAAAATTGTACTGAAAATAATTGAATTCTTTCTAGGAATTTAATTAGATTAAATTGTCAATAATTGAATTCCTTCGAAGAATTTTTATTATTTAGAAAAATAACTAATGTTTTTAAAATTTTATTCATGGTTTTGAAAATAATTGAATTTTTTCGAGAAATTTTAATTAAAATTGTATTGAAAAAATGGAATTCCTTTACAATTGCTACTAAATAGATAATATTAATTATATTGATAATTATATAATTAAAACAATATATAATTAATGTTCTAATTCCTTTATCAGCAATTCATAACAAACTTTACTTAAAAAAGAAATAATTCATCACAAAACTTAAATAGTATTTTGAACGTATATTTAAAAAATTTATTTTTTAAACATCTAGTTATTAGTATTATTTTTAAATTATGTGTTATTTAATTTATTATAATTAGCATATAATTAGTATATTTTTGCTTGAAGCAGGAAGTTAAGAAATAAAACATTTTCTTAAAAAAAATACTTTTAAAAATAACTGCTTGTAGCATTTATGATTGTAAATTAATTACAAGAAGATGGGATCTCAGTGTTATGATAATTGTCGAGTCTTCATTCTAAACAAAACCAACTGCAACGCTGATAATTAACACATTGTATCATTAAATACCATCAATACAGCAAAGAGATTTAATTCTCTTTCGTTTGTAATGTATATTTGAAAAGAGCAAAAATATCTTTTTTTTCCATTGTTTTCCATTTTTTTCCTTCAATTTTTATTTATTTATTTATTATTTATTCATGAAATTAAGAAAAATATCTTATTCTTTTAAAAACAATTTAAAGACTTTTTATTTGTTTTAAATAAATTTTTTATGATTTAAGTAAAATTTTATTTATTATTTATTTGGTTCAAGTAAAAATTTTATTTTGTTTAAATAAACTTTTTTTGGTTCATAATAATTAATAGTCACTAATTCTAAATAGTGAACGTTTCGACTAATTCAAATTTAGAGAGTAGTTTAAAAAAACGGGTTTCAGAAAAGAGAAATCGAAACGAATCTTCATTTTCCTAAAAGAAAAAATATTCATATTTCGAATGAGATTGTTCTTATGATGATCATTTGATGTAGAGGAATGTCAATTGTTTTATGAATGAAACCCTTAGCGTGGGAGGCAAAGTATATTCTCCATAATTACAAGTGATTCGTAATCTCGAGGGATTAAATTTAACCGGTCGTCTCTTACTAAGTAGACTAGAAAAAATTAGAATTTGTTCTGCGAATTTTTCAGGATCATAAAGTTCACGGTATATGAAAAAAAAAATATATATATATATATATTAATATTTATTCAAGTTGAAAACGTCATCGAAACAGAAATAATCATGAACACACATAATTTCAATGACGTTCCCTCCGAACACAATTATTCGTCATGGATCAATAATCTGGACCATTTAATTTCAATTATTTTTAACACAGATTTATTGTATTAATTCATTCCTCGAGTATTATTTTCTTCTCTCTCTCTATCTTTCTCTGTCTGATCTGAGACAGAGACCAGCTTTTGTTTTCAAGCGAAAGAAAATTTTTTCTTATTTAATAAAATGCTAAATTCTCGAGATATTTTCTGTTATATTTTCCTGCTTCCTGTTTCAATAAATTTTTCTATTTTCTTGAAAATATTTATTATCTATTTATATATATTTTATTTTATCAAAATTAATAATAATTTTTAACTATATCAATATTTTTGAAGGAATTTTTGTCACAAACTTTATTATCATGACATTTAATGAATTTTCATTATTAATTATTAATTTTTTATTATTAAAATTCTATCAGGTAATAATTTGTCGACTTAATTATCTATTAAACAAACTTTCTGTTTAGAAAAAAATTCTTATTAATTTAAATTAAAAAGTTGAAAGTTTTACTCAATGAAAAACTTCCTAATTAATTTTTTTATTATTATTTTTAAATTCTTCGTAATTTAAATTCAAAAGTTGAAAGTTTTACTTAATGAAAATCTTTCTAATTAATTTTTTTATTATTATTTTTAAATTCTTCGTAATTTAAATTCAAAAGTTGAAAGTTTTACTTAATGAAAATCTTTCTAATTAATTTCTTTATTCTAATTTTAAATTATTCTTAATTTAAATCCAAAAATTAAAAGTTTTACTTAAAGAAAATCTTCCTTATTAATTTTTTTATTCTAATTTTAAATTATTCTTAATTTAAATTCAAAAATTGAAAGTTTTACTTAATGAAAATCTTTCTAATTAATTTTTACCCAATGACTGTTCTAAAGAATAAAAACTATGGTGTAACTAATCATTGTTATTATTATTATTATATTTTATTATTATTACTAATACTATTTTTGTTGTTAATATTAATATTACTATAATTGTTATTATTTTGATGAATATTAATATTCTGCTTATTTTAATTATTTCCATTATTATGATTGTTTTTCAGCATTGCAAACTGAAGATAAATTGGAGTATCAGTTCTTTCCATCAAGAGGAAATCAGGTCCAATTTCGTGTGAAAGCAGCAAATGATGCTCACGTTGCACTCACACCTGGTCCTCAAGAAGGAGAACCAATGTACGAGGTATGAGAAAAATTTTCTAATCAAAATTCTATTTTAATATTTCGTTTAAATAAATAAAAGAAAATTCAAATTATTTTATTTAAAGCATTGAGAAAACAAATATTTTTTTAAAAAACTAAAAAAAACAATATTAGATCTAGATTATTTATTTGTTTTAAATAAAAATTTTATTCGACATAAATAAAACTTTTATTTGAACCAAACACAATTTATTTGAAACAAATACAATTTATTTGAACCAAATAAATAATTTAGTAGGCTGTCGATCAAATATATCTTTTCTTTGGGTGCAAAAATTGAGTTTGATTTAAATTGAATATTGAATTAAATTAAATTAACTAATTAATTAATTAAATTAAATTAAATTGAATATAATAAATTAAATTAATATTTAATCATTTTATCCAAAAAATTGAAAATTATTTAATTCTTTCGAAGAAGTTTATCATAAAATTTGAGAATAATTAAATTTCAAGGAAGAATTTTAGTAAAATTTTTGAAAATCCCAATTCAATTCTTGCGATGAATTTTATTCCTTATAAAAATAATTGAATTGTTTCAAAGGATTTATTCAAAATTTAGAATATAATTGGATGCTTTCAAAACATTTTATTAAAAATTTAAAAAAAAATGGAATTACTTCAAAGCATTTATTAAAATTTTAGAAAATATTTGAATTTTTTCGAAAAATATTAAAAATTCAAAAATAAAATTGAATTCTTTCATGAAATTTTATTAAAATTGCATTTAAAATAAATGAACTTTTGCAAAGAATTTTACTATTTACAAAAATAATTGAATTGTTTCAAAGGATTTATTATAATTTTAAAAAATAATTGAATTCTTTCGTGAAATTTTATTGAAAATAATTGAATTGTTTTGAAGGATTTATAAAAATTTTAGAAAATAATTGAATTCTTTCGTGAAATTCTATTAAAATTTTGTTGAAAATAATTGAATTTTTGCAAAAAATGTTACTATTTATAATAAAAATAATTGAATTGTTTCAAAGAATTTATTATAATTTTAGAAAATAATTGAATTCTTTTGGAAAAATTTAAAAGCGAATTAAGAAAAAAGTTGAATTCTTTTGTGAAATTTTACTAAAAATAATGAATCTTTGCAAAGATTTTACTATTAAAATAATTGAATTGATTCGAAGAATTTATTAAAATTTTAGAAAATAATTAAATTCTTTAGTGAAATTTTATTAATATTTTGTTGAAAATAAAATTTCCAGCACGAAAATTATAATTTTTCTTTTATTACAATTAATAATTAAATAATTAATATAAATGAATTTATTGTCTAATTGAATAAATAATTCCCAGATTTTCATTGGCGGTTGGTCAAATGCAAAATCCGTTATTCGCAAGAACAGAACAAAGCCCGAGGTTGCTGAAGCTGAAACTTCATCAATTCTCAGCGCCGATGAGTTTCGCGGTTTTTGGATAAGGTATATTGATTTCAAAATAAATTTTAATTCATAGACCAATACTACTCTAAAAATATAATTATTATTGTATTAATTTAATTGTAATACGAAATTTCTTTTTTTGCTATTCAGATGGAGCGATAATTTATTGACAGTTGGAAGAGAAGGTTTTCATGAACCAATGCTAAGTTACACTGATTCTGAATTCATAAATGTTGGTTTCATTGGATTTTGCACCGGATGGGGTGCTTGCGGTGAATGGCAACTCGAAGGTAAGTGATATCAAAATATAAAAATTCCAAACTTAATAAAAATATTAAGAAAAAAAATTTTCAAATATTAAAAATTTAATATTTGAATTGGAACTATTTAATCCACAAACTTAATCTTAAAATTATATTAATAAAAACTTAATCATAAAATGGTAAATTTATTCAATATTCAAATTATTAAAATAAAATCATTAGTTTAAAAATTTTTAATTCTTATCATAAGATCGAGTGTGGAAAATTTATAACTAAATAAACCAGTAAATTTGAAAGAATTAATTACAATTATTCAAATTAATTCCTCGTAATTAATAATTAATTAATTCAGTTGAAAACATTATTATAATCACGATAATATTAATAATTATTTTTGGTATTAATTACTACTATATTCATAGGTATTAATAACCAAAAATAATAATTCTTAATAGTAATTATTATTATTAATTATTAGTCATTATTATTATTAATTCTCAATGATATTCTTAATAAGTAATTCTTCACTGATTAATAGTAAAAAAAAAGATTCTTATTATTCATTTCTATTCTAGTTACATTAGTCACCGGTAAAACTATTTTACATAATTATCCCGAAGTCAATTAATTTTCAATTTTTAATTAGTTCTAATTTCTGATTCTATATTTTTTTATTTCAGTTCAAATTTATTGAATTTAATTTTAATTCTGATCTTATTTTTTATTAAAATTCAAATTTATTAAATTTAATTTCAATATAAATTCTATTTTATTTTACTATTACAAGAATTAGTAGCTGCCTAAATAAAATTATATTAACTATAAATTTTATTAAATTAAAAAAAAAATAAAATTTAATTTATAATTTAATTTTTTTTTCTAAATTCTAAATTCCAATTTCTGAAAAAGAAAGAAAAAAGTAAATAATAATAATAACTAATTGTAGTCAATAGCAATTAGTAATTGAAACTAATTAATAAGAATTAATAAGAATTAATAATAATTATTAATAATTTCCAGTAATTCACAATAATAATAATAATTCTTGAGAATTAATTATTATTCATTTGAAAATTAATTTTAAATAGTAAAAATTTACATAATTAAAAATTGCATTAAAATACTTTTGGTAATGGTAAAAGCTTTGTGTGGAATAACTAATGAGGGGCTTTTGGTTAAAAAACAATTTCTCATTAATATTTAATATTAATTAATTCTTTTTCTTCTTTGCAATAATTTTGGGATTATTTTGGACAAATATTTCTTTATCTTTTTTCCAGCGTGTTGTTTCGGCGATTTCGACGGTTGTACGTAATGTATTTCTAATTAGCAAAACATAAATTTGACGCTGCGAGATAGATTTGGCTTTTTGTTAAATTTGCATAAAAATGCTCTTGGCCTTCCCGCACGCTTTCAAACAATGTTACGCAACACTGTGTTAGTTTGAATTAAAAATAGATTTCACTTCTGCCTTCTTAATAATCACTAGATTTTTAATCTCCCAACCCCCTTCCCCCTTCTATCTATTAAAAGAAAACCAAACATTAATATTCGTGAAATTTAAAAAAAAGACAAAAATAAAAATCTATAAACGACTTTTTTGTCGAAAAAAAAATTGTAAACAAAATTTTATAATCTCCACATTTTTTATCTTCCTCCTCTTTCCCAAAAGAAAACGAAAATAAAATAAATTATAACGAAAAAATATCTGAACTTTAAAAAAATTAAATTGTATTTAAATTCAAAATTGTAAAAAAAATGTGTAATAATCTCGACATTTTTAAATTTTCTTCTCTTTATTGAAAAAAAACCAAAATAGAAAAAATAACCAAAATTTAAACAATTAAAATTAAAATTCAAAAAATTAAATTCTATAATCGATTTTTTTCAAAAAAAAGAATTGTAAAAAAATTTGCAATAAACTCCACATTTTAATTCTTTTTTCTCTTTATCGAAAAAAAACAAAAATAGAAAAAATAATATCGAGAGAATATCAAAGATTTAAATTAAATTTAAATTCAAAAGACAAAATTCTGTAAATTATTTTTTTTTTAAAAGAATAATAAAAAAATTTGTAATAAATTTCACATTATTAATCTTTCTTCTCTTTATCAAAAAAAAAACAAAATAAAAAAAATAATGTCAAAAAAATATCAAAAATTTTAAAAATTAAATGTAAATTTAAAAAACATAATTCTATAAACGATTTTCTTTCGAGAAAAGAATTATAAAAATTTATAATAAACTCCACATTTTTAATTTTTCTTCTCTTTATCGAAAAAAAATCAAAATGAAAAAAATAATATCGAAAAAAATATCTAAAATTGAAAAAATTAAAATTCAAATTCAAAAAATTAAATTCTATTAACGATTTTTTACAAAAATGAATTTTAAAAAAATTTGTAATAAACTCCACATTTTAAATCTTTTCTTTTTATCGGAAAAAAACAAAATAAAAAAAATGTCAAAAAAATATCAAAAATTTAAATTAAGTTTCAATTCAAAAAACAAAATTCTGTAAACAATACTTTTTTAACAAATTTGTAATAAATTCCACATTATTAATCTTTCTTCTCTGTATAAAAAGAAATCAAAACTTATAAAAATAATGTCAAAAAAATATCAAAAATTTAAAAAATTTAAATTTAGAAAATAAAATTCTATTAACGATTTTCTTTCGAGAAGAGAATTATAAAAATTTTTAATAAACTCCACAGTTTTAATTTTTTTTCTCTTTATCAAAAAAAAACCAAAATAGAAAAAATATCCAAAATTTCAAAAATTTAAATTAATTTTAAATTCAAAAACAAAATTCTATGAATGGATTTTTTCTAAGACAAAAATTTTCAAATAAGAAAAAAATGATTTCTTTTAATTTTCAGTTTTTTTTCGTTCTTTTTTCTTTTTTTTATGTAATTGTAATAAGTGTAAAATATTGCGAACAAGACTATAAATTTTGCATCACTGGATAATAGAATTTTCACAGGATCGATGATAATTATCTTTCCTTTTTTTTTCTATTTCTATCATCAATACGAATGAAAATGAACGGAAAACACGCAATTCTAGAAAATTTTTCCCATACTGCAACTTTTGCATATAAAACAAACTTCTTTTGTCCTTGCCAACAAAATATTGATTTTTAATCCTTGTAGGTCAGAGACTGATTTGAGTCGGGTTGGCGTCAAACATATATATATTCATTTAATTTGTAAAAAGAAGGTCACTTATATTAGAAAAACAAGTCGCTAAATTATCGTTCACTGTTTAATCTTATTTGTCGGGACTCGGAACACACGTTTAAAGAATCGTAATCAATTTTTTTTTTTTTTGCTTTTCTTTCCAACTTGATTCATGATCAAAATTTTAAGTGAAAATTGAAAATCCTTGACACACAAGAAATATGTACTGTTTTTTCTATTTTTCGCAAGAATATTAAATATACGAAAATTGTCTAGCAAATAATGGAATAATAGCGAAATTATCGATTCTTTTATCTTTAAAAGAGTTTTTATCAAATATTTCGAGAGAAAAACAATGAAAAAATATTGTTTAAAATTTTTTAAATGTATTTTTTTTATTATTGATATAAAAAAAGACACTATTTTTTTCTCTTTTCTTCTAAACTTGTAATTTTTAGTTTTTGTGTGCAGCGTATTTATTTTCCACCTCTCGGTGTTCTCCTTAATTTTGTTTATCAGTTTATTGATTATTTTCTTTTATTATTTTCAATTTCTAATAATTTTTTTTATTTCTATTTTTTACGACTTGAAAAAGAAATCAATGAAATAAAATTTTCTTATCTTTTTTACGATTTTTTGCCAACAAAAAATTTTTTTTTCCTTTTTTTCTGCGTTATCATTACTTTTTTGTTGCAAAATTATTGCATTCGATTTGTATTGTTTAATAATAAATATATATTAATAATAAATATTATTTTTTAATAATTATACCTATTAATAATTTAAATTTAATTTCATTTTATAAAAATTACATTGAAAAAAATTTATTTGTTTTAAATAACCGATTTTTATTTCCAAATAAATATTTATACTTGAATCAAATAATTTTTATTAAAATCAGATAAATTTTATTTCAACTGATAATTTCTTTATTTAATATTTTATTTTTATTTATTTATTAAATTATACACGAGACGAGTCTTTTCGTTTATTTCAAGCAAATACCTTTTAATTGCTTCGAATAAAAATTATTATTGATTCAAATAAATATTTAATAACCGATTATTAAATAAACTAACGTGCGGCCTCAAGTTAATCGATTAAAATAATATCAAAATATTTATATAATAATAAAATAAATAATAAAATATAATATAATAATAATAATAATATAATAATAATAATATATATAATATAATATATAATAATAATAATAATAATAATAATAATAATAATAATAATAATAATAATAATAATAATAATAATAATAATATATAATATATATTATAATATAATATATTAATATTTATATTTTTTTTATTAACAAAATAATAACTATTTTTTTTTTTTAAAATAATAATATTATATATTTTTTATTAAAAAAATAATAAATATTTTTCATTAAAAAAATAATACATATTTTTTATGAAAAAAATAATAAATATTTTTTTAGTGTATAATATATTTAAAAAAATTCGATTATAATACTATAAGTTTTTATGCAAATTAAAAAAATACAAATAAGTAAATAGAAAAAGTAAAAATAGAAGAAATTATTTTTTCATATAATAGAATTTTAATAATTCTTTGTTTATTTAAAAAAATAATTTACCTTTTTATTTATTTTTTTTTTTCACTAGAAAAAGTGGAAAAAGTTTTTAGTAAAATTGTTCTTTTAAAACTTAATCCATAGAATTGCACTAAACAAAAGATAGGATCTATATTTTTTCGTCCTTGTCATTTTCCTATACCTATAGTTTTTTTTTCTTTTTTTCATAAAACCTTATATGTTATTACGCAATATTGTAATTTGAGTTGTTGATTTACTTGACAGGTATTGCGTTTCAATTGAAAATGTCAAATCGATTTTCAATGAAATCTAAAATTGATTACATCAATTTGGGTATTTATTCGGATTTTCCTATTTTATTCCGATTATTATCGACGAATTTTACTTTATTTTTTACCACTTGTGAATGCATTATCACCTTTTTGTATTTTTAAAAATTGTTTTGTTTGCTTTTTTATATTCCTTATTAATAAAATAATTCCTGGCTTTAGAGAATAAAAATTTTCTCTTTCATTCACTGTCTGATAAGGAAAATTTCCCATTTCTATTTTCGAATGAAGGAATTTTGAATTTTATATTATAATTTATAATTAATAATTATAAATAAAAAAAAGTATATATTATAATTAAAACTAAAATTTTCTTTTTAAATAGGAAATTAAAAAATTTGCTCCAAATTTTTACGGAAAAAAATTTAATTATTCTCACAGTCGCATTTTTTGACTGAAAGTAATTTTTTGAGAAAATGGGGTTTAATTTCTCCACTTGAGAACGCCAAGGTCACCACCAGAGGGCAGGGAAAATTCCAAGAAAGAACCGAACTGCCATCTAGCGGTGACCTTGGCGTTCGCAGGTGGAGAATAACATCGCCATATTGATTCTCAAGATATTCGTAATGTTCGTAATTAGAGAGTTTAATAATTTGAATAAATAAATATTAATTAGTATTTAATAATAATAGTTGAAAAATAAATTAAAACTAAGAAAAAAATAAAATAAATTTAAAAAATAAATTCAAATAACAATAGTTAATATTAATAACACTGAAAAAAATCTCCTTCGTTCGAACATTGAAAATTTGTGCCCGAAACATTATTTGTACGGCTTTCTTTTTGTAGAAAAATCAAATAAAAATCCTTCACTGTTATTATAATTTGATAAAATTGAAATTTTAGTATAAAATCGAATTACTTACAGACGATTCACCAACACCTTCCGCTCCGGTTGTTCCAATGTCATCAGCGAGTCCAACGGGAGTTTGGTGTGAAGCCGTCGGAGGAGTATTACCTGCGGGTGCTCTAGAAGGCGGAAACGACATTGACGGCATCTTGTTTGTTGGAAGAGCTAATCACGAAGGTGCTCTCATTCCGGGCAAAGTGAATCCCCAACATGGCGTTTGTTACGTGGCTTGGGGTGGCGAGGAACACGGAAAATCCGATTACGAGGTGATAAAAAAATCCAAAACAATCACACCTTTGGGGGAAAAGAAAAAGAAAACATTTTTTCAAAAAATAATAATACAAAAGCAGAATTTCTTCCGGAAAAAAATGTTTGCCAATTTTTTTTTTAAATATTTTTTTCAAAAAATTTATCAATTTCATTGGACATTTTTCTATATTGGAACATATTTAGTTTGGAATTTTTTTATGTGAAACTTTTGTCCTACAATATAAAAATAATAAAAAAATAGCAAAAAATAAAATTTGCAAAATTAATTAAGAATCCAACTCACCGATTGTTTTTCGTTCCTTTTTTTCCAGGTTTTATGCAGCAGTGCCGCAATGTGGGTTCCAACAAGTGGCGAAAATATTCCGCCAAATGCCGTTCCCGGAGGACAAACAGAAGATGGCGAAACACTTTTCATTGGCCGTGTTAATCACGAGGGCACAGTAACTATCGGCAAAGTCCAACCGTCACACAAATGTCTCTATATTTCTTTTGCCGGACAAGAAGTTCCATTCAATGATTTCGAAATTCTTGTTTCATAAAGAAATCAACGAAAAAAAAAAATTTTTTAATGCAAAAATTGAGGAGGAAAATAATCTCACTCAAAAATTGAAAGCTTTCTTCAAATCACATTTTGAGGTCCTGAATATTCACGCGCGACGATTTTCATCACCTTGCACTAATAAAAAAAAAGAAAAAAACCAAATAATAATTAATTAAAAATGTAATAAGAAAAATGAAAAATTTTGCTTAAAATTACAGGAAAAAAAGTACAATTTCGTTTTTACACGAATTTCAATTTTGTACACTGAATTTTCTTTCTAGTGTTGTAATTATTTAACGCAAAAAAAAATCAAAATGAACGAATTGAACTGAAATTGTACCTTCGATGCGGAAATAAAATTTATTTTTTATTTTGTAAAAATATATATTATAATTTTATATTTTTACTATTGGTATAATATTATAATATATTTTTAGTATTTCATTATAATGTATTCGTATTATAAATTATAATAATTATTAAGATAATAATTATGATATTAAAATATTATAATTATAATTAAGTAATAATTATAATAATAAAATATTATAATTATAATCGTTCTTATAATATATTTTTAAAATTATATTATCATATATTTATATTATAATAATTTTAATAATATTCTGATATAATTATAAAAATAATATTATAAACATTGCATTATAATGGAATCAGAGAAAAAATAATCAAAGTCCAGACAATATTGTTCAAAAAAAAATTGTTGCAAGGTTATTAAATCATCGAATTTTTAAAGCTATGTTCTACTGCCGAATGCCTTAAAAATTTTACTGTTTTTAAATCTTTGAATTTTCGTTCATAAATTGTATATTTTTCCACGCTGTTGAGAGCGCACATATTTATATAGAAAAAGCATTTTTATCTTTTTTTTTTTTTGAAAATATATGTTACATAATTATTAGTATTTATTTGAATCTCTTAGTATTTATAAAAAGAAATTATGAATTTTACGTATTATAAAATAATATAGTGGCTTTTGCACGTGATAAATTTAAATAATAATGCAAAACAAAACAAGAAAAAAAATAATTAAAAAAAAAAACATGCGTGTAATCTATTTTTTGATGATCTTGTTATTATTCAGCTATATAGACTTTTTAAAAAAGAGCTATCGAAGGAAATTATTATATATATTTTTGCTGATTGAAATTTTCCGATGTTATACATTTGAAAAACAATAAAAAACGCAAGTCTGTTAAAATAAAAATTGTCTTTACTTCTCTCTAAAAAATTTTTTTTAAAATTTTAATAAAATTCTTCGAAGGAAATCAATTATTTTCAATAAAATTTTAATAATTTTTTCAGATAGAATTCAAGTATTTAAAAATTTTTTTTTGAGAAATTCATGAATTCAATTATTTTTATAAACAATAAAAGTCTTCGAAACAATTTAATAATTTTCAAGAATTTTAAGGAATTCAAGAATTCAATTATTTTCAATACAATTTTAATGAAATTTCTCGACATATCGAGAAATCAATTATTTTTAAAAATTTTAATAAAATTATTCGAAAGAATTCAATTATTTTCTAAAACTCTAATGAAATTCTTTATAGAAATTCAATTATTTTCCAAAATTTTAATAAAATTCAAATATAAATGTGAAATATTTTTAAACATTTTTTATAGGCATTCAATTATTTTCAATTTTTATTAATAATAAAATTTTTCGAAGAAAATAAATTATTTTCATTACAATTGCAATAAATAGTCTTGACAGAATTCAATTATTTAAAAGAAATTTAATAAAGTTCCTTAAAATAAATCAATCATTTTTCAAAAATTTGACAAAATTGTTTAAAATAATTGAATTGTTTACAAAACTTTAAAAAATAAATTTCTGTGTAAGAATTCAATTATTTTAATAAATAACAAAAATTTTTCGCGGGAATATAATTCTTATTAATAAAATGTTAATGAAATTCTACAAAACAATTTAATTATTTTTAATAAAATTTTAACTAAATTCCTTGAAAGAATTTTAATTCCTCTTCCAAACAAAATTTGTTGATGGAATTCAATTATTTATAAAAATGTTAATAAAAATCTTTGAGAAAAAATTTTTAGTTATTTTTAAAAATTTTAATAAAATTGTTTAGAAAAATACAATTATTTTCAGTACAATTGTAAGTTAATTCCTTGAAAGAATTTTTATTTTCATCGTAACAATTAAATAATTTGTATTTTTATTAATTTAATTTTTTTATTTCATTATTCTCATAAATAAAGGTCTTCGCAGGAATTCAATTATTTCCAATACAATTTGAATAAAATTTCTCCAAAGAATTCAATTCGACAAAATTTTTTACGAAACTAGTTTATTAGAATTTAATTATTTTCAGTAAATTATTAATTAAATTCCGCGAAAGTATTTCATTATTTTCCAAAGATTTTAATAAAATTCTTCGAAGTAATTCATGAATTTCACTAAACTTTTTGAAAACATCTGTCTTTTCAAAAAGATTAATAAAATTCATCGTAAGAATTGAATTAAAATCCGTCAAATTTCGATCGATTTCAATTTTGTATATCAAAATCAAAATTCCCAATAATTTATTTATTTAACAAACAGAAATCAATTATTTTAAAAAAAAATTTTAATAAAATTATTCAAAAGAATTCCATTATTTTCTAAAACAATTCTTTATAGAAATTAATTTATTTTCAATACAGTTATAATTAAATTCCCCTAAAATAATTATAAATTATAATTAATATAATTTAAATTAATAATAATTAATTAATGACTAATTTGAAATTAATAATAAAAACCAGAAATAAAAAGCGAATCATGAAAGTGGATAAAAGAAAGATTTGCCTGATTTACAAAATCTCTTTTATTAATGGTTTTGATAATGTTTACTATAACACACCTTCACGCTGTTTGTATGGGTTTTTTTTTCAGCATCGAGTGTATACGAAGATACATTTATTTTGATAAATCATAGCGTGTGGAAACAGTTTAACATGTAAATAGGTACAGGATTAATGAGAGGACGGCGCTTGCTTGTGCTTCTTCAAAACCACAGATTTCAATGTTCTCGTTTTCTCCCCTTTTTTTCTTTTTTTTTTTGCTTTTCTTTTTTTATCAATCTATTCACCAAAAAAACTAACAAGTGCATTTTTAAAATTACAGTAATTTTATTTTTCTAAAAATTATTTTTCTTCTCCATGCATAATATGTGTGTAGAATGAAAATAATTTTTTGAAAAATTTATTCTTTACTTCTTTTTATTATTTTGTTTAAAAGGAGAAAAAATATTATTTTTTTTTTTTTTTGGTTTTACCTAGTCTTGTACTAAAATGACGACTTGCATTAAAGTGATGATATTGAAAAAGCTTCAAGCTTATAAGAAATATTTACTGAAAAATATTGTTGCGACAAAAAATTAACAACTCAATTATTTTATATTTACACGAGTAAATTTCATCGCTGTGTGATTTTCTATATGAAAGATAAAATCTCAAGGTTAATAGAAAATCTATTGCAGATAGAATTTTTTTTCAATATTTCTCTTTTTTCTTTGAACGTTAGAAACAGACGCAATTTTTTTTTTGGTAGTAGTAAAAAAGAGAAATAGAAACAAAAAAGTAATTTAAATTCTTTTTTTCATGAAAATATTTCTTTTTGTAAATAAAAATTTTACATTTGTGGAAAATAAACAAAATCTTAAAAATAATTAATAATTAATCAATAATTATAATTAATATTAATAATTAATATTAGTAATTAATAATTGAATTGATTGAATTAATAATTGAATTTATTGTTTGAATTAATAATTGAATTCATAGATTGAATTAATAATTGAATTTAATAATTGAATTAATTAATAATCGACTAAATATTTTTCTTTGGAATTGAATAAAATTTTGAAAATAAAAGGCAAAAAGAAATATTTTCACTTGGAAAAGAATTTTTTTTTGTTTTCTTTAAAATACAAACATTAATTATTCTTTTTCGACGTCGCCGAGAAAATTGCGCTGGTTCATTTGCATTAAAGATGCTATTCACGTGCGTGTAATTGTTTAATTTAGGCAATCACTCGTTTTAAATGTAGACTTAGTTTCCTTGGACACACAAATTTATTTCATTCACGTACGCAGAGTTTTTTTTTTGCAATCAAAGAAACTAAAAAAATTAAAAATTAACTCTCGGGTATATTTTCAACTAGGAATGAAAATTTTTCACAAAAAACTTTTGACAATTAAATCTCAGAAACTTAATGAACCAAATTTAGAATTCAAAATTAAAATTAAAATTCATTTTACGATTCTAAAAAAAAAAGATGAAAGTCAAAATAATTAATTCTTGCAGCAAAATTGAAAATACAATTAAAAATTTAAAATGAAAAATAAAAGCGAAAAATAAAAATTGAAAATAATAATTAAAAAGGAATTTTTATTTTTCATTTTTATTTTCCATTTTAATTTTCTATTTTAATTTTCTATTTTAATTTTCCATTACAATTGGAAAATGGAAAATAAAAATAGGAAATAAAAATAAAAAATAAATGCATTTTTTATTTTCATTTTTAATTTCCATTTTAATTTTTTATTTTTAATTTCCATTTTTATTTTGCATTTTTATTTTCCATTTTAATTTTCCAATATAATTTAATTTTCAATTTTTAATTTCTATTTTTAGTTTCCATTTCTATTTTCCATTTTAATTTTCCAATATAATTTAATTTTCAATTAGAATTGAAACTTTATTGAAAATAAGAATTGAAAGTAAAAATAGGAAATACAATTGAAAATAAAAATTCAAAAGAAAAATAGGAAAAAAAAATAATTATTTTGATTATTAATTATAGGTAATAATTATTTTATACAATTATTTATTATTTATTAATAAGCTCGTTGGTACTAGATAAATAAATAAAGAATAGGAAATAAGAATTAAAAGTAAAAATCGAAATAAGAAAATAAAAAATAGAAACAAGAAAATAAAATGAAAATACAAAGTAAAAATAATAATTTTAATTATTAATTATTAATTATACATTTATGATAATTATTTAATATAATTATTCATTTGTAAGCTAGTTGATACTAAAAATAAATATAAAACAAAATTGAAAAATAGAAAATAAAAATTAAAATTAAAAACTAAAATAGAAAATAAAAATAATTACTTTAATTATTAATTATATAT